AGGCCTATAATTCAGAACAGCTAGTTTACACGTACTGTATAAAGACAAATTTTATTGCAGCCTAAAGTAGAAAGAGTAATTATCAATTGAGAAGTGTTTAGGCCTAGTCAATGATATCACCTTCCATCGCATACCTACCTCTTCCATAATCAATATCACCACAATACAATTACTCATACTATACACAATTTCCAGTAGGTCTGAATTGAAATTCCCTAAAATAAAACGAAAACATCCACTACAAATTAACAGTACCCATAATTATAACGTTGGTGTCCTGACATCATTAAACGAATCGTCCACACACATCTTTTATGTCAATTTCACTGCATCAATTGCTAAATAAATAAGTGTAAACAAAGAAAAGTAAACCCAACAACATATTAGTTTGTTTTGTAAACAGCTGAGTCAAAAATAATATTCATTTGAACAAAAGAACTGGTCACATGTTGAAGGAATTTCAAAAAAGTAAAAACGCTAGTAAAGCTAGTGACGTAATTAATTGTCTATGTTTTTATCCATTTCGTTATCAGTTCCAATATCCTTGATAATTAAACCAACCTCATTGAATCAATGTACATCGTAATTCCCCATGTTCATTTATTTAAACTATAAAATATTCAGCGCCTCCAAACGTAACCACAACTAAACACACGCCAAACAACTTTTTAGATTTCATAAAAGGATGGTTAGTCTAATTTCAGTATCCTAGGTCAATGATGACGTTGTGTTCAATCTATGTCATTCATCTGTATATCTTTGGATAACACCCGTCTGAGGTTGTGGTGGTAATTTAAAATCGTATTCCTGAGGATTCTTGATCTCCATCTTTATGACATCAATATTTCCGGGCCTAATCCAAACAAAGTTCAAGCATTCAAAGACATTAATTGTAAACAAAAAGCTGCCAAGATGAATTAAAACATGTAAAATTTGTGATTTTCCTACCCTTTCCAAAAAGTTGAGCAGTAAAATAATTTGCATATCTTTTTTATTTAACTCGTGTACAGAGCCTCTACTTGTACACATCGATGGTGTTACTTATCTCGGTGGTCTACTAATCTTACTTATTTCCTATAATCAATGACAAAATCAGAGTAAATAACCTCATAGTTCTATAGGGCATTTTTATAACTAAACAGCTGTTAGTTAAAACAAATTGTATTGCTCTAAAACAAATCAAAGATTACAATGATTGCTTTCAAAAATAATTTGAGCATCCTAATATTTTACTATGTAAATTAAGTTAATCTGTCATCCTCTTACAGAAGAATTGGTATCAATGATTAGCATACAAAATGACATAGTATAAATAAGTCAACCCTAAGTATGTCTTTACATTTTTATCCAAATGCTGAATTTGTGACACGAAAGCTGAATGTTTACAGCTGTTATGTTAAGCCAATTATTTTATGCCAAAAGCTAGTTAGAATCTTAGCGTCGGCTGCTAGACTTTATTAAAATTAAAACTTAATTTCTAAAAAACTGGGACCCTAAACTAAAATTATGGCTTCGACATTCCCTAGTTCTCAAAATTATCTTTCTTTCAACACAAAAATCATGAAAATCCGTCGAGTGGTTGATTCAGAATCGTGAAATAAAAAAACACTGTTTCGTTTTAGTATTATAGATTTGAATTCCTTATTGAATTCCGAATGGATTGGTGCAAGTAACACGCATGTATGTTTTTTTTTTTTGTTAAAGTTATAGGACTAAAGCTTATAATGTCCTCTTTGGAAGCAATACAAATATTTGTCTAAACTCCTGGTAGTTTTCATTTAAATGATTTTTTTATTGAAGAATGTCGTAAAAATCACATTTCAGAAAAGGGACCTCTTGTCGGCCTTATGTTATTTCTTCTTAAGATAAGGAAAGGTACCTCTTGTCGGGACCACAAAATTTGTGAGATATTTTGTTGTCCGTGAACTGAACTTTGACGTAGTTCTCTAAATTTCCACTAGAATGCAGGACAGTTCATTTTTGGACTAAAATCTGTTTAAAAAGTGAATATTAGAAATGGGACCTCTTGTCGTTATGGCGAGAAATAACATTGAGCGACAAGAGGTACCTTTTCTCAGACCGTGCAGAGGCTAATAAAATTATTTATTTCGACCTTTTGCATCTTCAATTCAATATTTTAACCGACACTGTCATGTTCTATGTTAAATGAGTTATAACAATCGATAAAACCCTGAAATTCGATATTTTCGACCTTAATTACTTATATCGGCCGTACTGATTTGCATCTCCGACAAGAGGTCCCTTTTCGCTTTCCACATCACATTTAGTATATTAAAGTGTTCTTTACAGTTTCTGGTTATAAAACTATAACTACTGTATCTCTATAAAGAGCTTAAAAAATAAATAATTTAGTGTATTAAAGTAAAATTAAAAAAAAATTTAATGTAAATTATCATGTTATTCTTATGGAGGAATAAATAAACATTTGCAGTTTGATTGTTTATGGATATTTGTATTTTTATCTAACTTGGAAAATTTATTTTATTTTGTTTTATACTAAGCTATTAATACTTTACTAAAACACACACTTTATTGCCCTGCCTGTAGCAGGAAACCTCTAGGTACTTGTTCAACCTAATGTTATTTAAATAGATTTAATTCAAAATCAAATCAGGTAAATGGAAATTTGCTTAGTCTGCAGGTTTACTACGGCGGGAGTATATTAACTTAATTTAAATAGCATGCCCGAATCGTTGACACACTACATAGCAATCAATACTCCTTAAGTTTGACAAATTGTAGAACAGTCAAAATAACTCTTTGCCACAAAAATCTAAGGGTGCATGTAACCAGCAAACATAAATCTGATCTAAGAATTTTGCCTTGGTAGAAGGGTAAAATGGTTTGCCAGTCAAAGTAAAATCCAAAATTATGAAGATCGAGTATTGAGTAGGCGACCACCGGGATGCTTGATAATCCATCTACTTTTACAAAATATCGCTAAATTAACACAATGAATAAACACCAAGTCAAGGGTTTTCTCAGATAAAAATGACTTAATTCTCACAATATTCAGTGACTGTACTTTTCAATTTGTATTTTACTAAAGATTAAGGTAGGCTTAGTACGGTAGTCAAACAAATTGATAATACACTTTATAAATTTAAATATAACTTTTATGAAAGTAAAATATACTAAACATTTTTCTTGGAGTAATATTGGCTGATGACACTAAACAAAATCGGTTTATCTTTTTTTACAGTATAATTGGCAGTATAAGCTATGTTGTGTGTAAGTTATAACAAATATCTAGAGATTCAGCTTGGTTGTTTTTGCTCAAAGTTAATAAAAAAAGCAATACCTCCATGTTGCAGGCATCAAGAAATCTAAAATAAACAATTTAATGGGGATAGATAAAAAAAGATCAATTTAATATAATAATAAAATCGGTTGGATATTTTGCTTCATTTATACAATTATTATTTGGTTTATCAAAGTTTTTTTTTAACGACACTAGTGTTGTGTGAGGGAGTGGCAACACTGACAGACCAGTCTGGTTGGTTGACCCAGATATAAATGTCAGCAACAGCTCTCCTAGCCTGCCTAGCTGTGGCAACCGTAACTACACTCAAACACAACACAAACTAGCAAACTAGTTGTATGTACGAGACTAGTTACAAGCAGTTCACAGACAGAAACTGCAACTACACTCAAACACAACACAAACTAGCAAACTAGTTGTATGTACGAGACTGGTTACAAGCTCTTTACAGTCAGAAACTGTAACTACACTCAAACGAGACTGGTTACAAGCTCTTTACAGTCAGAAACTGTAACTACACTCAAACACAACACAAACTAGCAAACTAGTTGTATGTACGAGACTGGTTAAAACATGTTCACAGACAGAAACCGTAAGTACACTCAAACACAACACAAACTAGCAAACTAGTTGTATGTACGAGACTGGTTACAAGCTCTTTACAGTCAGAAACTGTAACTACACTCAAACACAACACAAACTAGCAAACTAGTTGTATGTACGAGACTGGTTACAAGCTGTTCATAGGCAGAAACTGTAACTACACCCAAACACAACACAAACTAGCAAACTAGTTGTATATACTAGATTTTTTTAAAAGCTGTTCACTGACAGAAACTGTAACTAACTACACTCAAACACAGCACAAACTTGCAAAATAGTTGTATTTACGAGACTGGTTACAACATGTTCACAGACAGAAACTGTAACTTAACTTAAGACAAAATCTGCAACTGTTCTAATAGACAATACAAGCTAGCCAATTAATTGTATGTACCCAAGACTGGCCAAAAGCTGTTCATTGCAAAAACTCTAACTACACTCAAATGCAAACCATAAACTAGGAACCCTTTTGTGCAACCATAGATAAAACATACTCCCTTAGTAGGATTTGTCATCCTCATGGAACAGCTGAAGCCAATTTTATTGTTAGTTCCGTACGCCCAACTGTAGAGGTCGTTTTTTATTTACAATTTGTTTCTTGTTATTTCAGCCATTTAAAACCTCATTTATCCAAATAAAACTGTATAATCATAAACAATAACTGGTCTCCTAGTTATATAACCAAGTAAAGGACAAATCATGAAAATAACCCTTGAATAATAGAAACAAAATTTCGTCCACCCCAGCGATCAGTGTGGACGTACATGAACTTGACAGGAAAAAAAACTTCAAAATTTACAATGGATTGAGGAGTCTACTTGTTTTGCTTAGTCTATGGTGCAAGACACTAACAGACCAGTGAATTTCTTAAAAACACAATCAAAAATAGGTTTCAAAATTTGACAGGTACCACTTATTTTTTTTAAACATGATGTTTTTTAATAATACTCAATCTTTAACTTCATAGCAGGTAGGTATTAAAGAACAAATATAACTCTCCTTATACATTGTTATTAATTGTTATCATTATCATTTGAAATACTAATGAAGACTAAACACAAACATACATGGAGGAACATGATAGGGTGTCTATAGATAAGTATAGGTTACATACCTTTATAGGAGGATTTAGAGGTTTCTTGGAGTTTGAAAGTAAAAGGTATGTGGACTTTCATCATCTTCATTTGAGGAATCCTAGGTTGGACATGATGAACTGAGCCTCCAAACATCAGCTCCTCACCATGAAGCCAAAACACTGTCATATTCCTGCAAACAAGGCATTACAATTTCATTAAAATAGTATCATATCTTTCAAACTTTAATCCCTCACTGGCAGCTAGAACACAGTAGTTTTCCTGCAGACAAAACACTACAATGTCACAAATGTAGCTTCCCTTCTGCACATCTTTAACATTGGGACCAGCAATCAAATGTTAGAACGGGATTATTTAACACAAGGAAAAACTAATGAAGAGATGCTTGCAAAGAAGCAACAGCAAACAAACCTCAGAAAATATCCACTCAGACCTATCACTATGTGGTGAGCCAATATACTCACCAAGTGTTTCATATATTAGGAGTGTTGCTATTCCAACTTGTTTGACATTTTGTGGTATTTTAACGCTTGTCCTAGGTCCTCTTCCTTCAGACAACAGAAGGGTGTTTAAAAAATACACAGAGTATTGATTCAACTAGATAAATTCTACCCTTTTTTCTTTGTTTTTGACGATCCAATCGGTGAATACACTTAATATTCATACTCATACTGTACTGTTGTTATAGATTTAAAATGAAATTTGTCTTTTGAACTCCTCCGCTATTTCTTAACCGATTTTGACCATTAACGTCTCATTGGAAAGAGCGTGTCGCGTAGATTTGCCAACTGACCTTAATTTTTTGAAAAAAATCCCTTGGGTTCTGCCCGAGTGGCTTTAAAAGTTCCCATGTTATCCTTTGAAGAACATATTTGTTTACATTATGATCAGCTGGATAATTTAATTGCTGTTAATGTTTATTTTTGAAATTCAAGGAAAAGCATGTATAAACGGGTGAGGTTCATTTGTCCGAGTTTTTAACTGTCCGAGTTTTGATAAATAACTAATAATAATTAGATAAATCAACTGTCCGAGTTTTCATTTGTCCGAGATTATTAAATTATTTTAAAATATATCGAAATATCAAGTGTCCGAGTTTTCAACACTGTCCGAGTATGGCTTAAATAATAATAATATTTCGTTAAATCAAATGTCCGAGTTTTCATTTGTCTGAGTTTTTAAATTATTTTAAAAAATATCAAAATATCATTTGTCCGAGTTTTCAACTGTCCGAGTAGGAGCAACATCAAAATGTGACACTGCGCGCCGAGACTAGCGAGTCTAAAGCGCCTTTTCAGAAGTCGATGTGAACCCCTTCTGTGAAGGAGTCAGGCATTGTGCGAGCCAAGAGAGGCCCTCACGTCGACTTAAGAAAAATTATATTATTTTTATTATAAGACTAATTTTACAATTTTTAATTATAAAATTAAACTGTCATCACCAAACACAACCAACCAAACTTGCTGATAATATAATAATGGCGGGGGTATTTTATATTATCAGCAAGTTTGGTTGGTTGTGTTAGGTGATGAGAGTTTAATTTTATAATTAAAAATTGTAAAATTAGTCTTATAATAAAAGTAATATAATTTTTCTTAAGTCGACGTGAGGGCCTCTCTTGGCTCGCACAATGCCTGACTCCTTCACAGAAGGGGTTCACATCGACTTCTGAATAGGCGCTTTAGACACGCTAGTCTCGGCGCGCAGTGTCACATTTTGATGTTGCCCCTACTCGGACAGTTGAAAACTCGGACAAATGATATTTTGATATTTTTTTAAATAATTTAAAAACTCGGACAAATGAAAACTCGGACAGTTGATTTAACGAAATATTATTATTATTTAAACCATACTCGGACAGTTGAAAACTCGGACACTTGATATTTCGATATATTTTAAAATAATTTAATAAACTCGGACAAATGAAAACTCGGACAGTTGATTTATCTAATTATTATTAGTTATTTATCAAAACTCGGACAGTTGAAAACTCGGACAAATGATTTTTCAAATATTTTGTAATTTTTAACAAACTCGGACAGTTGAAAACTCGGACAAATGATGTGATCCCGTATAAACACTGATTTGGTTGAAATAAAAAATTTACTATTTTAATTTGGGTTTGCGTACGTATTATAATAAAAAAATCAAGAAAGCTTGGAAAATTTGATATATTTCACCAAATAAGATAAATGAATTGACACAGCAAACCATTATTTATTTATTATTTTATTAGTATTTCTTGAGCAATCCTTAAAAGATCCGATTTGCTAACTATGGAAACATAGACAAGTCATAGAACGCCACCAAGTAGATGAAATGGGGATAATGTTTTTTAAAGAATTAAGTATCGTTCTTAGCCTATATAATGAAGAACGCCTACAAGATGGAGATTCCTACAAACTATGAACGAGGATGTTAGCCTAAGTGCTACCAATTTTAGTAGGAAACATGGATAAACTTTGTGATATATTGTAGAGGAAACCCCCAAAGTCTGAATAAAACTGGTACAGCAAGGACCATTATTAACCACCAGGTAAAAGTCAACAGATTTTAGAAGAATATGACTACATCCAAGAAACCTTTACTAAAACTTTCATTTAAGGATTCAATTACTATTCACAGTTAAGGAAAAAAACCATCTGAACAACGTCAGACTTTTTACTCTGCATTTTCTCAGGTAAATGTAAATATAATTTACATTATTACAGCTAACTAACCAAAAGAATGCCAATTGAAGCAAATACAATAATTGTTACAGAGTGGTATGCAGGAAATCAGGTACAGTAGTTCTAGTTCTTAAGTAATGTGAACAAAGTTTATCGCTATTTTTTAAGAAAATTACTGAAATTCATAAACAACTGGCGACAATGGTGGTACCATGTAGGCTACATTATCAACGACGAATACAATCATGGACAACCCAATGCGGCTATTATTGGAAAACTATTGGTAGAAAACACTAAAAACAAGATCAGCTTTTGAAAAATGATACAAGAGATGTTATTATATCGAACTGGTATGTACATTGTTAGTATTTTCATTAGTTAAATAATTTTTTAGTTGACTCTTTTAAACTTATCAGAAATTATGAATGTTATTCGTTTTCAAATAACTCTGATAATACTTTGCAATTGCTTAAATTCGAGCAACATGTACACTAGTTAATAATTTAAAATGTCATATGGTTAAATAAAATAACAGTTTGTTTACTTTCATCATGGTATCTCCCTTCCTTCTCTGTGCTCAACCCATGAACTCAACTGGATGAAAGATGTAAAGAAGTAAGAAAACTTGAAAATACAACCTAACCTTGCAGCTGCATATTTTTTTTGATGCCAGTGAAAAAGGATTTTGTTCAGTGGCCTATTTCAGAGTGGAAAAAGGAGATCAAGTTGAGGCTACCTTTGTACTGGCAAGGTCGCGTGTTGCTCCTTTAAGAACGTTTACCATCCTAGACTTGAACTGCAAGCAGATGTACTAGGCAGTCAAATGGCATCTTAGATCTATCAGTTTCATAAAATGAAAAAGGAACAAACATACTTTTGGATGGACTCAAGAATTGTGTGGTGTTGGATTCAAGCAGCTCAAAAGCAAAAGTCAGTCTACGTTGCTAATAGTACCTATTGAAAGAATAATAAACAAAAGATACTGGTCGGATTGGGCTGAAATTTGGGGTGATGATAGCTTACATTCCCGATTAACATATAGGCATATTGTTATTTCAAAACTCCTTTCAGGCTCCGCCCCAGTGGCTCTGGAATTTCCCATGTTAACCTTCTGGGTTCCTTTTAAACATTTAAAAGGAATTAAATAATCTTTTCAGCTGATTTGACCAAACAAGTTGGTTCTATGACATCATAGACAAAACGAATTAAATATAGACCATCAGCTGTGCTGCGGTTACCATAGGTTCTGGCGCACACCGCTGGGAGCGCCATGTAGTTGTACACTGTTAACACATTTTAATAATCATAATGAAAATTGAGCTTTTTACTTTCTTAGTTTTTAATTATTATTATAAAAATTCACATTTACTGCTGACTCATTTTGATTATTATAATGAAAAATTCACTTTTAAATTATTTTACCAAAAATTCACGTTTACTGTTGACATATTTCAATTATTACCCTATAATAAAAATTTTGCTTTTTAGTTTCTTATATTTTTAAATAATTTTACAAAAAAATTCACGTGTCATTTATTCAACTAAGTATTCTAATTTAATGTTGCCACATTTCAATTATTATTTAAAAAATCAATTTAAGCGCTAGATTCCAATCATTATAAAAATTCAACTTTTAACATTGCTACTTTTTATTATAAAAATCACCTAAAACGTTGGCACATTTCAATTATTATAATCACAATTGAACTTTTAATGATGATACATTTCAAAGATTATAATCACGTTCACTATTGGTTCATTTTGATTATTATATCCACTTTTACTGTTGGTTCATTTCAATTAATATAATCACAATTAACTCTTAACTTTCTTACATTCTGATTATTATAATCACAAATGAACTTTTAATGATGATACATCTCAAAGATTATAATGACGTTCACTATTGGTTAATTTTTATTATTATATTCAGTTTTACTGTTGGTTATTTAATTATTACTAGTGTACAAGTATTACAGGCGTTATTTTAAAACAAATAACAGTCATAATTTCCTATGACTTTAAAATATTCCACTCAAAGATTATGGAAATACTAAAGATGTACATAATAGATCGGTATAATCAACATTTATTGCAAATAGTGTTTTCTACAAAAATAGCCTCATTAAATAGTCTCATAGCTGCATTGGGTTTCCAGACACATTGTGTGTCGAAAAGCCAGCACGACTCCCTTCCCCATACCGCCCTGAGCGATAGGGATCATTGAGATTCGCTCTAACCTTTCCTCTCCCCTTCATGGGCAAGTTTTCATACCTTTTCTTTCTTAGTTTTTGTTTGTTTCTTTATTTAAATTTTAATGCCTGTATGTATCCTCCTGTATCTTATCCAAGACATATTCCTGTTCTCACCTATTTGTCTCTTGAAGTGAGCAATTTATAAATACGTGACTCTTGGTTTTTATTTCTCCACATCTACATACTTCCTCTTCCACCTGGTGAAATCTTCACAAAATCGCCTTAAAATTTTCAATGTCCTGTGACAA